GAATGGTGAAACGGAAGGCTTTGGAGTCCTTGTTCCTTTCCAAAACAGTAAACCAAGCCCAGATTAACTTGACCATAAAAAAACTCAGAGAATTTGGCATAATGCATTATATTACTTTCCCCTTCAAGGGCCTTCTGTGCAAAAGACTGATGGGTCCTGGGAAATAACGGATTACATTAAATTTAAAAAGATGCAATTGCCACTGCATTTCCTTGCAACTAAATGTCCCTGTGGCTTTAGCTTAATTACGTGATATATTTAATATACTAATCTTTTGAAGAGTTTAGGGACCTTAGCAGATAACTGAAAACTGAAAATATTTAACATTGTAAACCATGTAACAGTGGAAGTGGAAAAGAAAATAAGAAAAAAACATATAAAATCATATGGATAAAGAAAAAATAATTGTAATAAATAAAATTTCCATGGCTGTTTACAAATGATTTTATATATATCATCTCATTTGACTTCATGACAATACTGTGAGACAAATAGAGGAGGGATGTGTATTTCCAGTACAGTAATGGACGCAGGGACGTTAGATGAGCTGATTCATTCACTCCTATGGCTTTAATTATCATGCAGAAATATGCTGAAGCTCCCAAATCACCTCAATCATGGATTACTGCAGCCGCCTTCTAACTGGTCTCCAAGGCTCCTGATAAACTGCAGAGTTCCTTGTAAAAATACAAATTTAATCAAGTCTCTCTCCTATTTAAAATTCATGGTTTCCCACTGTATCTCCAGCCTTCAGTATGGTTGTTTGCACAGAGTAGAGGCTCCACATCTATTTGCTGAATAAATGAACAGATTGCTGAATTAATACTGTTAACAAGTAGTTGAGATGGAATATGAACCTAGACCACCTTATTTAGAATACACCAAGAGAAAGCTTAGGAAATTCCACATCCAGACACAGACTCAACATCCTAGTGCATGAGTGACACAGTACTGATCAAGTTTGATAGGGAGTTAAGTATTAGGCCATCAAGACCTGCTAGTATTTAAAATCCAGTTTCTCTGCTAGGATCCGGTGCTCTAATATCCAAAACCAAATATAAGACACACAAATGTATGGGGATGCAACATGAAATCCATCCAAAGTAGAAATACTCGGAGGTCACTGTCAATTTTTAAAAGGAAAGGAATATTTTCTTCACATCTCCTAAATTTATAATAATGTCACCTTAAAGGTACTTGGTTTGGTAGCCTGTCAGTAAGAATTACCTAGCAAGAACACTCCCGTTAGATAATGATGCTCTAAGCAGTAGTTACCATTTCTAGCAAACAGTTCAGCTAACTGATTGATTTCTCACAAAAGCATCAAGCTGAGAATTAGAAAATCACCAGTTCTGGATCATACCTTTCAGGACAACCACAGAAGTTTGACAGACAACTACCAAGAAGCAAAACTTAATTTCTTATACCAAATAAAAGAGCATCTCCAAACCTAACTGATTCACAAGTTATAGCCAAAGGTCTGAGTGGTCTGCAAAAGACCTTCTGAGAGTTGCTGGATATTTATTAACTGCTGCTGCTGCTGCTGCTGATGATAACAACAGGAGAAGCTACTATTTCTTGCATATTTAGTGTTTTGCCAGCCATGAAGTAAACCCTTTCATGCATTACCTTATTTAATTCTGACCCCATCCCTGTAATATAAGGAACTATTATTATTCCTATTTCATAAACGGGGCTGTGAAAGGTTCATAATTTACACATGGTCACATTAAAAGGAAGTGGTGACTTGAGTCCATCTGGTCGAGCTGACTCTAAAATCTATGTTCTTAATGACTACACTATACTACCTGAATATTTCAGGCTTGTGGTAATGCATATAGTTCTTCTATGTATTTGAGATCTAAGAAAGTGGCAGCCCAGACCTCAGAGTCAAACACTGAAGGTACATTCACATTCTGTCTTGTCCAGAGTTTGATTTCTTTCAGGACCTATACAGTTCTCCCAAGAATCACAGACAATAGGGAAAATAGCTCACGCATACACCACTGGGTAGAGAGATGTAAGTGTTAATTATCTTGTCATTTGGGGCTGCTTTTATACGCCTCTGTATAGTTACTTGAATCTTATGTATCATTTCTTTAAGATTTTTTATAGACCACTGAGCATCTAAAGAAAAAAAAATGAGGGGGATGGTATAGCAAAAGACACAGAATAGAATTCTTTCTTTTAAAGTAAAATAAATGTCCATGGAAAGTTTCTTGACAGACAAATTACTGTCAATCAGAAATAAAACATTAAATTCTAAATCAATGAACCTTAGTGGCTCCACAATATATGGGGAAAAAATTTTAGTGGTAATATGGTTATTGGAGGCACTGTCATGCCCTACAAATGTTAGCTTCAAGCTGACCTAAGTCTGAAAGGTTATTACAAATATCGAATGGCTTTTCAGATAATATACTGGCTCTCTGGAACCTCTTTTATAGTTAACAAGGTCTATTATGATCTCTCCACCTCTTAGTCTTAACTCAAAGCTGGCTCTCTGCTAAGGATACCAATTCGCCTATAGTTCTCTCAAGTAAAAGTTGCTCATTCTTCTACAGAAAATGTGCTTCAGAATCAGCCCATAAGATGGGCATCTTCCTTATTCATCAGCTTCTCCCGGACCATCACTTCTCCTCCTTAAGGCTCTCTGTATTTTATATTTTAGCTTTATCACCCTCCATCCCTCTTTATCTTTTTGCTCTATCAAAAACGCAGCCATGTAGTCATTCCCAATCATTCATTAAACTTAGCTGTGTAACCAGTGGTACTGGTTGGCTGCCTGCTCCAAAGCCCTTTTCTTTACATCAGAATGAGCTTTTACTCTTTCCTCAAAACTTAGAAAAGGATGATTTCATACTTAACATCAAGAACTAATCTTGATTAGTCTAGACAATCATTATGGTTTCACTCTCCTGGTAAATAACTGGTTAAGACAGAGGCAGATGAAACAATTTTGGGTAACTAGATGCAAGGAATCTGGTGGATGACTTCTAGAAACAATTCTGTGGCTGCTGGATATTATCACATCTGGATGTAACCCCTGGAATTGTACTTATTTCTGAATGATGAGATTATGATGATTTTTGTTTTCCTTTTGTACTTGTCTTATTCTCCAAAAATTTCCAAAAGGAGGAGACAGTATTTCTATAAAAAATAAAATAAAATAAATAAACCTTGAAAAGATATTCACTTGATCTCACTACTGGTCCTGATGGAGTAAAAGGAAGAGAACTCAGGTTCCTACTGAAAAAAGAAGCTGGAAAACTGGACAAAGCATCCGCAAGAATGGTTTGAGTAGCACTCTTAAGGCCTAACCTTCTGGGGTCTTCCTCTCCACCCTGGTTGGTCAGAATTCCACTCTGTGGAATTCTGCAGCACTCTGTGACCTCTGGCACTCCGATTTACCTCACAGATCCTCAGTGGCTGTTCTCTGCCAAGCCTCAGAGTTTCACCATGCACATGGCAATTTAGCTTTTTGACCAAAGACTCAAGGGCTCTCAATACAGATTTCTAGAGCTACTTCTCTAAGCAATTCCCTGCTCTGGTACCTCGCCCCACAAATCCCAGCTGCCTCACCAGCCCCAGATGCCAATCTTCGTTTTATTTTCTGTAGGATACACTGCTTTTTATTTGGGCTCTAGTTCCCTGTGCTGCTGTTTGGATAGTTAGTGCCCCCAGACAGAAAATGAGAGTGAATGTCACACTTAACCTGTGTATTTCCCCTCTCTGAAAGATCACAGCTTTATGCTGGTTGCTGTTCAATGCATGAAAAGAGTTGCTTCATATGGTTTATCCAGTTTTACAGTTGTTTATGGCAGAAGGGGAGCTTTGATACCTGTTACTCTGTGATGGGTGGAACTGGAAGTTTCAATTAATCAATTAATTAATTAACACCAGCAAAACCAATAAAACCTTAATTTCCAGCCATCAAAAGTCAACCAAGGGAACCAATAAGCAGTAAAAATAAAAAGCTGGGTCAGATAGCAGACTCATGGAATTTTCTACTATTTTAATTTCTTAGAGTCAGAAAAAATTTCCAGTAGTCATATCATTTTTGTTCATTTTCATTTTTCACCGACAGCACAATGAATACTACAACACTCTTCATTCCTTCCTAACCAAAGCCTAACTTTGTGTTTTACTCCAAGGGGATGATTCATGATGAATCAGCTAAGCCAATAATGATGCTCCTCTTTCACTATGTCAGATACTCAATCCCCTAGCCTCCCTGAGAGCTGGAGGTGACCACATAACTGTATTCTGACCAATGAGACAAACAGGGAAGTATTTTAGGCATCTCCTGAAAAGGTTTTTATTTTCTTGACAAGAGCAATAGATGACATTGGCCCCTTTTTCCTGTCTTGAATGTGAGTCTCTTTGGACCATAACATATATGAGGAGGAAAAGTCCACACTCTAAGTATGGCAGAGGAGAGGGAACAAAAGACCCTGAGTCCTTGATGACACCACCAAGCAACTAAATCAATACAGCAACTCATTACCTCTGAGAAAAGGAAAATCTATTTGTCTAAACCACCCTAAGATTTTTTGTTTCCATCTGTAACAGAAAATATTTCTGATAGATAAATACGCACACCATTTGTTCTTTAGACTAAGAAGAGTTTGCAGATAAGATGTAAAAACAGTTTTAAAATATAGCATAAAAAGGAAATGGTTGGGAACTGCATTCTTTTGAAGTCTTTGGACTAATGAGATTTTCTTTGGTGTCTATTAAATGCATGCCTGCCTTATATGCCCCTCTAGACTGCAAACTTCCTTGTGCCCAAAGATCTTCTCTGTTCTACATCTGGGCCTAGGCCCTCGTTCACTTGCTGATCGGTTCTATTCCTAGATGTCCTATAAGTTATCTCTGTCATCCAGGTATTCTTTGACTCCATCAGGAATGAAGACCTCACAGACCTAAAACTTTTTTTTTTTTGCAGAAGTGAGCACGCAGGTAAAAGAAACAAGCAAAGGGATGGTTCACTGTCTTACGTTCACATTCTCTGACATCCAAGTTGAACTGCTGTAATGCTCCCAAGGTGAGCTGCCTTACTTCAGCTTCCAGCAACAGTTGCATCAAGGATGTGGCTAAATGCTTGCAAGCTGACATACATGCTGTCTGGGCCACCTTTCCCTGGAATACAAGAATGTAAATCGTAATGTTAACAGATTAAAATGAAATTCCAACAAAAATTAAAATCATTTATTTTTCAATTAGAAATGTCTTTAAGGTTTTCTCCATCATGATACCCCTGCAATCAAACAACCTTGGGATTAACAGCACCTGATGGGAATCAGCTTCAATATTAGCTCCATCGCCATCAATCATGTAGCTACGACACCGAGCTAAAATTCACAAAGCCCAGTTAGTTATTCAAGAAGCACTTTTTCCCTAAATCAACGATAAACAATATTCAAAACCTTAACCAAACTAAGAAATTCTTCCACAGAGAATAAATTTCAAAACATCCCCTCTAAAACTACCATGATTCTTAAAAAACAAACGTAAACAATAATCCCTCATTTATCCAGAAAACAAAGTATTTACTGCTTTATGATTTAGAACATATAAAATGAAAAGAACAGTTTAAAACAAAAAGGTTTCTGGAAAAAATAATTAAAAGGATAAATTTTGTTTTATTAAAAAATCAACACTGGGGTCAGCCTGGTGGCACAGTGGTTAAGTTCTCACATTCTGCTTCGGCAGTCCAGGGTTCAATGGTTTGGATCCTGGGTGCGGACCTATGCACCACTTGTCAAGCCATGCTGTGGCAGGCTCCCTACATATAAAGTGGAGGAAGATGGGCACAGATATCAGCTCAGGGCCAGTCTTCCTCAGCAAAAAAGAGGAGGATTGGTGGCAAGTGTTAGCTCAGGGCTAATCTTCCTCAAAAAAAAAAAATGAACGTTGAGGTTTATGAACATAAAATAAGCTAATTTTCTAAAATATTGATATTAAAATTAATATTTTACTATCTCCTTTAAAGGATTCCAACACTTTATATCTGGTGAATTACATCTTAGTCCCAGGTCTAAGCTATATACCACAGAAGATATATCCACTTTTTTCCAGATATATATCCATTTTATTTCTGTTATTTATCACCTGTTCTGAAAAACAGAATGATATATTTTTTAAAAAGTTTGAGTCCTCAAATTACTCAGTGGATTCTTATTTTTTGAAATTATGAGATATTTCAGCCATATGAAAGATATATATAAATATATGATGAATACTTATGTATTCACTAAACATTATACATACAGTTCAAGCCCTTGTGTGACCTCCTTAATCATTTTCTTCCCTCTCCCCAGAGGTGACCATTATTGCTGTTAGGTGTACCATTTGTATTTTGAAAATACTATTATGACAAGTGTATAACAAGAAACAATATATTGCATTATTTTCTGAATTCTGAAACTTTCTATAATATCATACAATACGTCCTTCTGCACCTGGCTTTTTTGGTTCAATATTATTAATGTGACTTTTTTTTAATGTAATACATGTGGCTACAGTTTATTCCTTTAATTATTCCACATTGTTCTATTTTAGGAGTATACCACAATTTATTTGTTCATTCTTCTGCTATTGGATTTAGGTGTTTCTATTTTTTTGTTGTTATTGTTATTACAAAAAGACTAGATCATAGAGTACTATAGGTCTAGTAAGGATTCATGAAAATGCCAGATTCTGACTACAGTACCCTTTAGTTTTTTTATATGTTTCTCTGAGCCAGAGCCTTCCGCAAACATAGCAAGCTTTAAATGGAAAAAATATAATAAACAATAGCACAATAAATTTTTGAATTTGCATACTTCTTTACATACTTTAGATAATTCCTTTAAGATTATTTCTCAGACCACTAGGTTGAGGGGTATCAATATTGTAATTCATAATACATATAGCATATATCTGAAGAGGAACATAGGTAAAAACCAGATTTCCAAATATCTAACTATAAACTGCTATACCTAAGATGTGTTCTGATTTACAATATCCCCAGATATTTCTGAGAGTATCATTTAATTGCATAATCACCAGCACTGAGTACTATTATAAATTTCTCTAATTAAATTTATGTCTTTTTATGTCTTTGATTACTTTGTGAGATTAAACATTTTATTTATTTGACTAAGTATTATTTTATAGCATAAAAATAGGAGAATAATAAACAATGACCTATTTTAGTATACATACTAAAAATGTTCCTCATCTATATGGTTCTGTTTGTATGTTCTGAAGATCCACAATCTGTGGATGATTTAAGACAACAAATGGAAACACTCAAGTTAGGGAGCACTATAGAGACCAAGTAGGAAAGAGGCACTGGAAGCATAAAGAATCCTAAAGAGAAAAGTCACATTATAAAAGAAATTCACATTAAATGGCTTGCTTTCAATTAAACCCACTAGAGACACCACTGCAGATCAGAAGCCAGAGAAAAGGGAAACAAACTATCATCTCTTCGGCACGTCTTTACATCCAAGATGTGTCATACTCAGGCAGTTGATATCTTGTGTCATTTCATTTAATTCTCACAATCACCCCCAAGAAGTTGGTATTATTCCTTTCTTGTAGATTAAGAAACTAAGGCTCTCCATGAGATTAAAAAATTTAGACAAATTCATATAGCTATCTGGTATTTCTACCCATTCCTAAATCTGTATCTTTCCATTAAACCATCACCTAAAAAGTGATAGTAAATCTTACAGTCTTACACTGGAACAAGTGGGTAAAAACAGGTCCAGATAATAACAAGGTTAACAGGTTATCCAAGACATAGACTATACCCAAACAGGTAAGATAGCAGTAGTTTAGGAGCCAACTCTTCAAACACTGAGTATCTGCTGGGGCACACTTTTTAACTTGTGTCCAATGTAATTATCTAGACCAAAATAGATACTTAGAAGACCCAACGAGCTGAACATGGAGATGTAAAAATCATACAGCTAAACGCACAATTAAGCTGGAGGCTGAGAAGACAGTATTTGAAAGGCTCGTTTCAGTGGCCAAAATGGATTGCCAAAGAGACACAAAGCTGGCCTGGTAAAATGAAAATAAAACAGTTCAGAGTCAGAAAGTCTCATGTTCGAATTTTTATCTCCACCACTTATTAGCTGCGTAATTTGGGGTAAGTTAGTTGACACTTCTGACTCATTATTCATCTCAAAATATTAAATACCTTATTAACTTTAACATGAAACATAAACTTGGCTTTCAAGTCTATATCAATATATATCAATCAAGAGAGCCAAATGCACTTACAAATGATCACAGGTTACACTACTCTAACATGCTGAGTTATTTAACTGCCCTCCAATCACTCCAACCACTTTCCACTCTACTTACCCTCAAGCTAATTCTTTTGTGTGTGTGTGAGGAAGGTTGACCCTGAGCTAACACCCATTGTCAATCCTCTCTTTCTTTGCTTGAGGGAGACTGGCCCTGTCCTAACATTTGTGCCAGTATTCCCCTACTTTGTACATGGGATGCCTACACAGCATGGCTGATGAGTGGAGCAGGTCCACACCCGGGATCCAAACCTGTGAACCCTGGGGTGCCGAAGTGGAACACATGGAACTTTAACCACTCGGCAACAGGACCAGCCCCTCAAGCTAATTCTTTATTTCCAAAGTAATAATTGCAGAAATGTATGTTTTCATTGTTAAATATTTTTCTAAGTCTAGAAGCATTCTGAAGCTTTGCTAATTCACAGTCCACTATCCATTCTCTTTTTCACTTCTGGTTTCTGTTACTACCATGGTGTTCACAGGTTTTCTAAGAAAGGATAAACACAGACTCAGGCAACAACAACCAACACACTAAGCAATAAAAAAAATGGTGGTTTCACTCTCTTCCTTATCTTATTATGAAGCAGATTCTTTCTATGAACATACAGCCAAAATCACTAGGACAGGGTAGGTATTTGGAACTTAAGAAAACTTAAACTGACCAAATGTCCCATAAAACTGCCTTTGTATACCTCCAAAACAGGCTCAAATCAGCCATTACCACATCTAGACCATATCTAATGAAGCTTTGATAGTATTAGTGTAGAGAGACTGCAAAGGAATAGAGAGAGAATGCCAGACAAGAGGAAAAATGAGCTAAGCATTATCATGGTATTTTGAATGTATGAGGAACCTGGGATGCAGGGAGATTTGAATCACAAGGTCTTACAACTAGCTCTGTAGGCAATATCATGCTGCCTCTCTTGATGCATCTAGAATATTTATGCACTCCAAGACAGTCAATAAATATCAACTAAATGAACTGAAAGTCAACTACCAAAGCACTTAAATAGTTCATACTATTTCTCAATCCAGTTACAATGTCTTTTTTTTTTTTTTTTTAAGTTTTGGGAAGGGCAAAGGAGCAACTAGTGAGAAAATTTATGATGTTAATTCAAAGTCACACTTAGGACCATAGCGAGAACCATCACTGGGCATGAGTCAAGACCCAGGAAAATACTTCTATGATTTTCACCATGTAGCTCTTTGGTAACTAAATCAACTCACTTGCTTCAAAAATATACCTAGATTCAAATTCTCTAATTCAAATTACTCCCTCTACTCTTTCTCTATTTACTGTCTTTCTTACTTGTACTATGTATTGTCATTTCACGCATGCACATTTCCTTGAAAAGTACATGGTTTCCAAGGAAAGAAACTATGGCATCTTTCTTTCGGTATATCCAAATGAAGCAGAGTCCAAGACTGTGCAGAGTAGGTACACACTGATATGTACTTTATGCCTTGGAGGTGTCTGATTCTCTTCTACAAAAAGGGAGGTTTTATCCATTGTTTTTTACATAAAGACATAATTAGACACAATTAACACAAATGTGTATAAATCTTACAAAATCCTCAAAGAAACAGAGAAAGCTCAGTATTCATCACTTTCAACTACTAAGTACTTCAATTACACAATACTAAGCCCTATGTCATAGTACTAAGTATAGTGAGTAGAGGCGAAGAGCTTAGAGAAAGTATCACCATCATAAACACCACTACTATCTCCACCACCATCAACAGAGTGGCTGCTTCCATTTATTGTGCACTGACTATGTGCCAAACATTTTGAAAATATTTTCTCACAAGAACCCCATGAGGTATTTAATCTTCGATTTA